AGATAGAGGAGGTGGTATATACCTCCTTAAACTTGTAAGCCATCAGATTTTAACTGCTTATTTTTTCCTGGAGCTATAAGACTGGATAACAGACTCCTGCCTAAGCCCAGCTGTTACCGTTTCTCTTTAAAACCATAACATTTATGTGTAGTTTTGCATAGTTTAGGCAAAGATAAGAACCAATGTCAGGCTTTAGGCACTGTTTATGGAGAGACTGGCACTCTTTATTTGTCCTGTTGATCATTGCCACCAAGACCAACATTGATAAAAAAAAACATAATATCATGGCTATCAAGTGGGGTGCAAGACAGTGCTGAACTGTGCCACTGGGAGGCTGCCTAACAGCAGATTTCGATGTGGAGGCTATAGAGGGAATTGCTTCCAAAGGGGTTGTATCCAAATTGTAAGTGGTAGGTGATAGACTCCACTGGGGTCTAGTGCTGCTACCTTTCTGATGACGACATTGGGACCATACCACAGGAAACACCTGGGTGATTAGAAAGCAGCACCAAGTGCCCAGAAAAATGTCTCACGTGATGATTTTTATAATTGTTTATGAAAGATAAGAGAATACAATGCATTTTGGGGGAATTGCTGCCCCCTTCTTTAGGGCTAGTATGTAGAGAGAAAGATGCATAATAAAAATTCATAGCCGGTTTACTGAATTTGTACAAAGTGCAAACCATAAATCTGTGTTGGAACATATAGTTTCTTGATAAAAGTATAGTTCTCATTTGGTTTCTATAAATGTATTGCAGAAGGTGTGTAAAATAAAAACAATATATATTTATTGAACTTTTCTTAGTAATTAACCACTTCCCAACTGCGCTATAGCCGAAAGATGGCTACAGCTTGGTTGTCTAGTTCTGGGAGGGCGTCCATGGACGTCCTCCGAGAACCCGACCCCCTGCGTGCTCCCAACGTTGTCAGTAATAAGGTAAAAGGCCAATCACAGTGGCCTTTTACCATGTGATCAGCTGTGTCCAATGACACAGCAGATCACAATGTAAATACAGTTGCCGGTTATCGGCTGCACTCTTTTCACGCTGTCCCAGCGTGAAGATAGTACAGCCTATAACCGGCAGATGTGAAAGGGGAGATCTGCACTGATAATCAGAGCACTGATTATCAGTGCCCTGATTATCAGTGCCGCCCATCGGTGCCCAACAGTGTCGCCCATCTGTGGTGCCCCGCAGTGTCGCCCATCTGTGGTGCCCAGCAGTGTCGCCCATCAGTGCTGCCTGTCATGGCTGCCCAGCAGTGCCGTTTGTCAGTGCCGTCTGTCTGTGCCTCCAGTTGGTGTTATCAGTCAGTGCCACCAGTAGGTGCTATCAGTCAGTGCTTATCAGTGCTGCATATCAGTGCATCATCAGTGCCTCCTCATCAATGCCCACCAGTGCTGCCTCATCAGCGCCGCCTCATCAGTGTCTATTGGTGCTGCCTATCAGTGCCCAGCAGTGCTGCCTATCAGTGCAGCCTCATCAATGCACATCAGTGAAGGAGAAAAATTATCTGTTTGCAAAATTTTATAATAGAAACAAACAAAACCTTTTTTTTTATCAAATTTTTTGCTCTTTTTTAACCATTAGCCGCCCGGCCAATGGCCGTTTGGCGGCTTCAAATGTGCTCCTGTATTCCGGGTGCACGCCATTTAGCGTGCTCCCGCACATGCGCGGTTTGCGCGGTTGCAGAGCGACGCAGCAGTGCGATCTGTCACCGCCCGTGCACCTCGGACACGGCCGATGACAGATCCGAGTACCGGCTCCCGTTGCCGGTACCATGTGACCTGCTGTGACCAATCACAGCAGGTTACATGACAGTTGTATACAATGGATGGCTTCATTCATGATGCCATCCATTGTATACTAGTGCCTAGCTGTGAATGGCCACAGCTAATCACATGCACATGTCATGTGATTAGCTGTGACCAAATCACAGCTAAGCACAAAAAAAAAAAGAAAAGCTGAATGAATCGATTTCATTCAGGTAAATGCTTGCTTATAGCAAAGTAATTCTTTGCTATAAGCAAATTGTGTAAAAAAAAAAAATACTGATCACTTCCCCAAAGTAGTACAATGTTACTATGGTAACACTGTACTATTTTGGTCATAGTAAAATATGAAAAAAAAAAATCTTAAAAAAAAATAAAAAAAAAAAAAAAAAAATTAAATATAATAAAAAAAAAAATATATATATATATTTTTTTTTCATACTGTCACCAGTCAGTGTCGCTGTTCACCGCCATGCCAGTTATATGATGATGCTGTACTGCACTGGTGACAGTATGTAAAAAAAAAATAGTGAAAATAATTTTTTTAATTTTTTCATTTTCCGAAAATTATGACAAAAAAATACAACTTCAAAAAACTCGCCATGCCTCTTATAAAGTACGTCGGACTGTCTACTCTGCAAAAAGGGGTCATTTGGGGGATATCTGTACTGTTCTGACATTTTTGGACCTCAAGATATTAGATTGGCTGTCAGTACTTCAGGATTGATCAATATTCAGATCTATACCAAAGTTTGTGAACTCTATAACTTTCCTCCAAACTAAAAAATACATCCTAATTTGGGTTATTTTCACCAAAGACATGTAGCAGAATACATCTCGGCCTAAATTTATGAAGAACAATTATTTACTTGTAAACTTTTATAACAGAAACAAAGAAAAATGTGGGTTTTTTTCAAAATTTTTGGTCTTTTTTTTTTGTTAATTTAGCAAAAAATAAAAACCCCAGCGGTGATTAAATACCACCAAAAGAAAGCTCTAGTTGTGTGAAGAAAATGATAAAATTTTAGTTTGGGTACAATGTTGTATGACCGCACAATTGTCATTCAAAGTGTGAGAGCGCTGAAACCTGAAAAATGGCCTGGGCAGGAAGGTGTAAAATTGCACGGTATTGAAACGGTTAATTTATAGTGCAAAAAATAAAACCCCCAGCGGTGATTAAATATCACCAAAAGAAAGCTCTATGTGTGTGAAAAAAATGATAAAAATTTCATACACAATCTGTTATACAAGCTGTACACTCACTACTTTACATTGTAGCAAAGTGTAATTTCTTCAGTGTTGTCACATGAAAAGATAGAATAAAATATTTACAAAAATGTGAGGGGTGGACTCCCTTCTGTAAGATACTGTATGTTTGTTGAAAACTGAAAAAAATTATGGAAAAAATCTTCCAATAAAGAGGGAGAGATAGAGACACCTGTTCTGGTGGTAACTGTACAAGGCAGCATGTCCTCTCACTTTGGAGAGATTGATGCTCACTTTCTATCAATACCAAATTAAAAAAGAAAAAAGCGCCACTTACAAAAAACACCAAAATGTCAGCAGCATATCCCACCCAAAATAAATTTTGGCAACAATAATCCTAAATAAAAATGTATGCGCTAATAACAAACTTATACAAAGGTGTATATCATCATCCAAAAAACATTAGTGTTTTAAATAAATAATTATAGTGTCCAAACATAAATAAGTGTCCAAAAAATATATATATATCTTCAGTGACTTGAATCAATTGTGAAAAATCCAACACCAAAGGAGATTAAATGAACTCACCAGAGCTAATGGCTGGTCAGATTATAAACCAGCAACAACGCTTGTGCTCTGGGAGCAATGAACCCGATGTCCAAATAGATATGGTGATGTTTCAGATACTTCCAGATAATAGTAATCACAGACAAACAACTTTGCAGCCCAAGCTCTTATGATGAGCTTCTCCACTCTTTCTCATACCTCCATGAGAGCATGCAGTACACTCAGGGACAAAAAAGAGAACATAATGGTGCAATACGTTTTTTTCATTTATCTCTTTAATAAAAAAGGTATAAGGAAACTCACAAACAAGGTGTCCAGCAGACACCAGCTTCAATCGCAAAAAAAGGTGAGATACAATTACCGCTCACCGCGGATCTCTCCCATACAGCACAGAACAGCAAGGCTCTCTAACGTCCACATCGAGTAGGCTACGCCCTTTGAATGAGCTCTCTCCTGCCATCTTCCCATCTAGAAAGATGACCAAGTCATCCAATGGTGGCAGCAACTGCATAGAGCAGCACTACAACAGGAGTCCTAATGAGAGGAGAGCCCTACAAATCATCATCGTGGACAGTGAGTTTGGACACTTTCGAGCACATTTCTCCCATCGGATCTTACACAAATGATCCCTGAAAGTATAGTCTACTCGATGTGGACGTTAGAGAGCCTTGCTGTTCTGTGCTGTATGGGAGAGATCCGCGGTATTTTTAGTTGAAGCTGGTGTCTGCTGGACACCTTGTTTGTGAGTTTCCTTATACCTTTTTTATTAAAGAGATAAATGAAAAAAAAAACGTATTGCACCATTATGTTCTCTTTTTTGTCCCTGAGTGTACTGCATGCTCTCATGGAGGTATGAGAAAGAGTGGAGAAGCTCATCATAAGAGCTTGGGCTGCAAAGTTGTTTGTCTGTGATTACTATTATCTGGAAGTATCTGAAACATCACCATATCTATTTGGACATCGGGTTCATTGCTCCCAGAGCACAAGCGTTGTTGCTGGTTTATAATCTGACCAGCCATTAGCTCTGGTGAGTTCATTTAATCTCCTTTGGTGTTGGATTTTTCACAATTGATTCAAGTCAATGAAGATATATATATATTTTTTGGACACTTATTTATGTTTGGACACTATAATTATTTATTTAAAACACTAATGTTTTTTGGATGATGATATACACCTTTGTATAAGTTTGTTATTAGCGCATACCTTTTTATTTAGGATTATTGTCACTTTCTATCAAGTCTTTCCACTAAGACGTAGCAAAAAACTTGAAAAAGTTTTAACTGTTTCCTACTTTATCCAAATCAAAAGTTTTGGCCCTACTGAAGCAAAATATGAATTATTTAAAAACTATTTAAACAGGTATTATACTTCGTTCTACGCGTTTGGAATAATGATTTTACATACATAAAATAATGCCTTAGAATATGGCATTTGACATTAACATTGCCATCACCTTCTCACTGTTCCTGTATTTTGGCCATTTCTTCAGCATCTTCAACCATTTGTCCACACGTTCAATTTCTTGTTGCTTTTGCTGTTTGGGAGAAAATCATTGAATGAATATTATGGATAACAGCTCAACCATACCCACAATCTGCCAGAGAGAAACTCCTCTCAATATGAACATATACAAGAAGTACAAGCAATGAAGGTATACAAACATCATAGAGGAGCATAAATTATAGCAATCTATTGAAATTATTTGCAGAATAGAAAAAAATACAATAAAATAAATATGTCACCTTTTCCTCAGCTGCTGTCCGCGAAGGCAGTTCATTTTCACTAATAAAAACAGAGAGCAAGAGACATTAAGTACATCAAGCACTGTTGAACAGAACCATGGCATTGAAGCCCTGACATTGTACTGCTAGGGCTAGTGCTCTTCTGTAATTCTGAGCACTGTCAGAAACCACAGAGACACAAGTTACAAGAACACAAGTACAAGTAATGTTTTATGACAATTCTTGAATATCATATTTTATATAGTCCTCTTTTGGTCCTTCAGCCGGGTTTAACTGGCTAGGGCTTCATAAGTGGTCAGCCTGTAGGCAGGTGCCTACAAAAGGGGGGTTAATGTTTATTCTATGCTGACTCATGTTGTGCAGTTTTATGGGTCAAGTCTGCTGTCTTTTCTGTGAAACGGTTACATTGTGTGATATAAGGAGTTTATTGGTTGGATTTTCCTGCCAAAATTCTACAGATCCACATAAAAAGTGGCTCTCCAGTGCCCCAGGGAGTTCTGCTGAAAACCACTGCCAAGATGTAGGCAGTTACTCTGCTGGTAGGTGCCTCCATCTGGGGGAGGAACATAGAGTTCCCTGTGGGCCTGGGAACCTGAGAACTCTTAAGGACACTTAAAGAACTCCTATGGACTTCTGCTACCCCCCTCTGAATCACTTGTCAGTCACGGACTCTGCCTTGCATGGACATTAAAGACTCTTTGCTTCTACTCGGGAATGACATCTATGGGCACTAAAGCCCCTCTGTACAGAATTATACATAATAATTTGCCTACAACTATTGTTCCTGTATATCTGCCTTGCTTCAGAAAAGTTCCAATGAACTGCTAACTGCCTGGTCTAAAGTCTCTCTCCAGTTGTGTAAAGCATGGAGTATCCAAAGGACCAAGACTTGTAACTAAGAGGACGTAGGTTAGAGCAGACATTGTACACAGAGTCTGGTATTGGTCTGCTGTCAAGTGTAGGCTATATTGCTGAAACTAGGGACAGCTATGTTAATGTGTCAGTAGCTTAAGGAAGCCAACCAGTCAGGGGATGGTGACTTGGGAAGTGCGATGGTTGGTTACTCTGGCGGTGAAGAGGTATTATGCTTGGCCCATTCACTAGCACCCAGCTCCCCTATTTCTGGGACTAGCCCTGCAAAACAGACTACCTAGGGAACTAGGTTGGGAAGTCACAGGTGAGAGGTATAGAGGCCTCTGGAGTAGTACAGGCATATCATTTCAGGTTAAGGTAAGGACTTTCACTCTATATAGTATTAACCCCAGTTCTTACAAGTAGGCAGATTAAAAATGGTTAGAGTGCAGAGGAATTGGATGGGCTTGACAGTGGATATGTCCTCTGGATTTGTTAATGTGGAAAGTCATTAAGAAGGCCTGTTTGGTAATTCTGATCATTAATGCCACCACCAACCTCAATACAATACAAAATTCCCTACTAGGCAGTAAAGAGGACATGCCAAATTGGGACTCAAGCCTCCAGGCAAATGTGCTCCCTCTCCCACTGTCAGTGCTGTCATACAGTAGCATATGGATTTTCATGTCACAGAGGTATGATGTGCAGCTTCCAAATATATTTGCAAATGTTTGCAATTGAGAACTTTTATTTACTTAAAAGATTATACAGGTCCTCTGTGCTGGTTATTAAGGCTAGTGTCAGGGACCTTTGTCTTTCATGGTGTGTATGGTACACACAATTGTGAATCATCTAATTTTAAATAGATTATGCAACTGCCATTATACTGTTAACTGATAAAACATTTGATCATCACTATTGAAAACAAGAATTGATAATTACCATATATTTAGATATCTGTGAGATAAACATTTATTCATTCTTTATGCAGTGCTGTATTTTGTACATTGTACCACATACAATTTATTGACTCCTGGGCCAAAATACAGTAAACAAGCACTTGTCAATTGAAATCTTATTACAAACAAATATATTAGTCTGTTGATACAGAATTAGATAAAGCAACATGAAAGATCACTTGAAAAGTGAATGTGCTCTACTACTTTAGTAAATCAACTCAGTTTATTTATGCTATTTATAAACAGTCTGAGAACAGAAAATTTGCTGGGTATGAGATGCAATCAATGTCAGCTATTCTGCAATAGCCAATATTCACCAGAAATTGTTTCTTATACTTTTTTTTTTTATTTTTACCAGCCATATACCAGACAAAATATTTCCTGTTCCCGTTATTTGTGACTCCGTCGCTGTTAATACTAGCCTATATGGCCTCTGCATGAGTTTAACTACAATGTAGGGAGTACATTTCCCAACCAGAACTGAGAAAAGGAAACATCAGGGACAGAGGCATACCTTGAAGCTTGTGGGCCCCAATGCAAAAGTTGACCTGGGTGCCCCCCGCTACCACCTGCTGCTTCTACCGCGTGCCAAGATACTCCAAGTTATTTCTGATCTTTATTTACATAGTGAGAGGGTAATTCAAAAGATTTTCTAGAAGCTGTCCACATTTAGATATACCTCTCCAATTGTTTTGAATACTTGTAATCAGACCCCGACCTGAACCCTCTGAGTTTACTGAATCACTAACGCAGGGAAATGCAGCAAGCGCTTTTCCCCAGTGATGCAGTGTAAAGGCCAATTTACACATTGTGTGGTGACAGGCGTTTTACTACATTGTAACCGCAAGGACACGCAGAAAACAATTGTTTCCTATGTGTTCCAATCGCACTGCAAAGCAGCCTGGAGCTGTGCTGCAATAAAATACAGACATACTTCAGCACTTTATTTTATTTTTTTTCTATTTTAAGTGGTTCTAAAGTCTCCAAGACTTTTACCTTCAAGCATTCTATGCATGGAGATGAAAACGCTTCTGTGTGTAGCAGACCCTCCCCCCCCCCTCCTCCCCTCCCTGCTTGCTATGGGACACCCGACAGGGGGGATGGGCCAGGAGTGCCAGAGAAGGACCGGACAAGAGGAGGAACCAGGCTGCTCTGTGTAAAACCACTGCACAGAGCAGATAAGTATGACACGTTTGTTATTTTTAAAAAAGAAAAAAAAAAACAAGCTATTAGCTTCACTATAGCTTTTATTGCAGCATGCTGTACAGAATAGCATGGCACTGTATAGCAGCACATCGTCATGCTGTAAAGCCCCATGAAAGAAAAAATGTATGTTTGACTTATGTGTACCTTTTGTTTATCCAAAACTAAAAAAAAAAAAAAAAAAAAGGAAGCCGTGTACACTAAATTGCACATCACATTGCCCGTACCAAAGTCAGGAGTGGACAGCTGTCAGACAGGTAAAGCGCTCTGGCAGCTGTACGCTCTACTGTGAATACAGCATTTATCCCAGTGTTTTTCAACCTTTTTTCAGTCAGGACACCATTTAAAATTATGTAAAATCTTGAGGTACCCCAGTGTAGAATGTAAAAACGCTTGCATGAATATATTACAACCTTTTAATTACATTCCCCCCCAGTGAAATCATTAATCTCTTTCTTCTCTTGTTCTCATTCCTTTTCTCTCTCATTTTCTTCCCTCCTCTCTATCTTTTCCTTTCTCTCTCTCTTTCTTACTCCTCTCTTGCTGCCTCTGTCTATTAAATTCTCAAACTTTACTTCTATCTCATTCTCTCATTCCATCTCTCTCTTCCCCCCATCTCTTTTTCTCTTTCCATTTCTCTCTGCTTCTCTCTCTTTCCTTCTTATTTCATCCTCATTTAATCTCAATCCATTAGTTTATGGTCTGTTAACACCAGAAACTGCATGTGATATGCACAGTGACACTCTGCAATTTCTGTGCAATTCACATGCAGTGCGATCTGAGCCCATTTATTTTGTATGGACTGAAATTACACTGCACCACAAGTAGAGCATGAGCTACGTTTTAAAATGCACTGCAACAAAAGTACCATGTGATCTGGTGTGGGCAAACACACTGTGTTTCAGACCAGCTTTGAGGTGTCATTAACTTATTACTGACACCCACTGCAGATCGCAAATAGAGTATGTTTTGCATGCAGTGTGAATTGCACAGGAACGCATAGCATGTTCCTGTGCAATTTCTGTGAACAAGTCCTCGTGGTTTCCCTATGTGTTCATCTCTCTCTTTTGGCTGAAAAAAAATAAATACAAGTTTGTCTTACTGCACACTGAATGGACATTTCCATTACCCACGTTCAGATAATACAGGCAGTCAGTGTCCTAGCCATTCCCAGAGCAGTTTGCAGGCAAGACTGTAGTATCCATAATGTGAAAGTTAATGCTGCTGTCTGGTGAACAATGGCCACATTTTACCTGTTTGTACAGTTTGGACTACAGAGCCTGCAGAGGGTCTCAGCCTCCCCCCAAACAGCTGCAACTCATCCAGTTCTCTTTTCATCTTGTGTCAAATTCTAGATAAGACATCACAGGGTATGTGAGGAGGGGGCTGGGCAGAGGGAGAGATTATATTTCATTGGACAAGGATGACTAAGGGGTGGATATTAACTCTTTCAGCAAAGTAGAAGGAAAACAGCACATTGTGATACATGGGAGGAATCTCTGCTTTCGCTTTAAAGAAGGAGGTTGACAGGGAGTCCCCAGGGCCCCCCTGGCAGGGGCCAGGTCGCCATTGCGACTTCTGCAACCCCTGTAGTTAACGCCAGTGATCAGGGATCCCTCTAGAGTAGGGGGTCTCTAAACTTTCTGAAAAAAGGATCAGTTTACTGACCCCCAGACTTTAGTGGGGGGCGGACTGTGGCCATTGGGAGTAGGAATTGTCCTAGCGTAAGAGTAAAC